AGCTCCGGGTTTTCCCCGCCTCCCTGATCCAGCTCCGGGTTTTCCCCCCCTCCCGGACCCTGTCAGTTATTTGCTCCGGTTTCGAGGCGGTGAGTTTAAATTTGAATTTTCTCTCCCCCGTTCCCGGGCGGTGCTGTTGAATCGGGAGAAGAAGCTGCGGTCAGTGTCTGAGGTAGGAGACCCTGACCCCCACCGGGGGCTTTCACATCGCGGGGCGGAGCCCGCCTCAACCCCAGCGTAGTGACCCACCCTCTGGGTTAGGAGGTCCGGGTTCAAATCCCCCACCTGCTCCAGAGCTGTTTCAGAAGGTGCTTGATTAGAAAATGTCTTTAAACCTGCGGGAAATTCCGATTCTGGAGTATCTCTGATTTGAATCATTGCACCGCTGGTGGCCAGGCCTAGGCTCCAAACATTGGAACGTCCCCCTTAAACCTCCTTCATTACAATCCCTCTACTCTGCTTTGGTTCACAGAGCCTGAGTGAGACCTTTACAGTGATGTCTGGCTGTTATGTTGATGTGGTTCGTGGCTTTAACCCTTCTCATTTGTGCTTTTGTTTGTGCTGCAGGTCAACTGCCAGATGATGCAAAGAACTTCCAGGTTAAAAAAAGAAATGCAGTTGTTGGCAAGCCAGCCTCCTCCTGGAGTCTCCTGTTGGCAAAATAATGATCAGATGGATGATTTACGAGCCCGTACGTTTCTTTTTGCACGCTGGAGAGTCATGCTCGGCCTTCCCTTACTAAAAGTATAATGTCAGCTAATCTAAAATTTTGATATTTATTTCCCTAATTGACTTTGTTCCCGATTACTAACCGCAGACAGAATCTTGTGGAGGCAACAACGGTCTGTCCACCCAGCTGGAGAGTGGGCAAAAGTCCTGTGTCACCCCCTCTTGGGAAATGATGATGTCTTTTGTAGCGCTCAACAAACCAACAGCCCCCTCCACTCGCGGTCAAGTGCCGCTGATTGTTCAGATGGCTGTTACTCCATACACGGCAGCACTACTGGGGATGTTGCTGGTACTAGACCCACCTGAGGCCTCGGATCAAGGTGGGATCCAAATACCAGTAACTGATGGTAGCCAGGATATTTGGCTGATGGAGATGATTTTCAGTGTACCCCTTCTCTATCTGGGACCCCGGGGAGCTTCTAAGCGAACAGCTTGTTGTATTTTCTCACATGACAAATACCCAGCTTTGGATTGAGGTTGGAACTTCTACTTGAGTTGCACTTGTCATTTTCATGTAGACTTGTATTCCAGGGCCCTTGTGGTGCAGTTGTAGTTTCCCTGCATCTGGACCAGGAGACCTTGGTTCAAGTTCCCCCTACTCCAGGAGCATTTAAGATCAACTCTGCACAGGCTGATTAGAAAATGTATAGAAAATATATAGACTTGTATTCCAATCCATTTTTATTGATCCTCCCTTCTTAAAGTCCACAAAGCAGAAGGTCACACCTAAAGTATTAACTTGGCTTTTCTCTTAATAGCTGCTAATGTGGAGTATTTCTGCCGTTTGGTTAATTTCCATCATGCTGGTGTACCTGTGGGAAATATGAATAAATATTACATGATACATTCAATATGTAAGGAATAAACAATGTATTGGGGACACTAATACATAACCTATATGAATTGAAGTGTATCAGATGAATCTTTGCCTTATTTCCCCTCTTCCCAAGCATGTGCACACAGAAAAATTAGATGTGATTTAAAACTTGTCAGGTATCAAGAGTGATGCCTAAATGAGTTGAATTAGAAAAGTTGCCATAACCAAGCAAAAGCAGCCTATGACAAGAGTGTAACACAAGTATTCACTTGTGCTTGCCAAAAGATTACAGATAAAAATTGAACCCAAATGCATATTAACTAATTTGACGATACTATGCCTTTAACAGGTGTATTTTATCATAGTCTGTTTATGAAAAGAGGTTGAAACAGAGATACTGTACAGTCTATTCTAACCCAATAAAGTAAACTACTTGTTAGACCTTGGGTTTTTTTAAAGTTGGAAATCTAGAAGCAGAATGAAGGGGTAGGTCAAGCTCCCACAGAACTAGGATTTTAGTTTAACTTGCAGTAGTAGCTGGGTTCTTGAAGCTGGATGTGGAAGCTCTTATTTCTCTCTCTGCTGCGAAAACTACATGTGAGACAATCTGTTTTACTGAATTTGCCTTTGCCAAGGGTGTGTTTATGTGTTGTTACTATTTTGAAACAGCTGCTGTTTAGTAGTTAAGTAATCTGTTATTCTGTTAAGTTTTCCAATAGAGTTCAGTTATTCTAATTTCTTCTTTCTTTTGTTTTGTATTTTAACTAAAGTTTGTTTTGCTTCAAGCCTGCAAGTTTGACCAAATGAATTGCATCCGGAACACACTGCCTTACACTTGCCTTTAAAAATAAGAAAAGTTTGGGGTCTAGGCTGTCTTCTTAATATATTTTGAGGGGCTTTGGTGTGGTCCATAACAGTAGTATGACTTTATTAACTCCATTTACAACAACTAATAACGCTAAATGTAGTTAGCGATTCAAAAAGCTGCTCTTTAATATCAATGAAAATATAAGCTGTCAAGGTGCAATTATTTACATCAGTATATGCATACAGAATAGTGTCTCAAAAGATTTGTGTCTCAAAACTTGACTGTAAGCCAGTGTAAAGATGCTAAGTAATTGCATGTGACTGTACTAGAATGTCTGGTTGTCTTCTGGGTGTATACGAGGTCGACTGCAGTGGTTCAAGAAGGTGGCTCACCATCACAACATGTTCATTCCCAATTGCCCTGAAGGTCCAACAAATGCAGATCTTGCCAGTATGACATTCTATGACAAAATAAATAACAAAAATGCACTTTTTAACTTTGGTGTAATATACATATTTTATTTGTGAATAATTATAAACCTTTTTTGTTTTTAAATTATTTTAAGGAAAGCATATATGGTGAAATCAGGTGTTTGTATGATTATTTTGTTAGGTCCCCAATTTAATGAATAAAAGAATGGGATTCCTTTCCTGTTGTATCATGATTCCATTTTTTTAAAAAACCTTATTTGCAGTATGTTAAGTATCTGTTGTCTGATCCTTATGACCACTGTTGTAACATTGTAATATTTTACATTTCTTTATTGTGGGTAATTACAAAGTGTTTTAAGTCTTCAGTGAACTCAAAGTTAATTCCATAGATGCCCTTCTAGTTCGTGGAGATTCAATGTATGTAAACCTTTTGGGTTGAAACTGATGGAAATATAAACAGGAAAAGTAAATCTAAATTTTGGAATTCAGCCAAATAAGATCTAGATATTGCGTCAAAAATACAGCATGTTGATGTCGTTCAGCGTCTAGGCATTTTCCTTGTTGGGATTAGGAGTATTAAGCATTTCTCTGTATCAATGAATAGTAACTTCAAGTTCACCTGCAGTTGCCTGTGTTGCTACAAGTAAAGTTATTTGGGGGTTGGGGGAAACTGGGTTTTGAAGACACAGCTAATTTGTGAAACAGTAACCCTTTATTATCCTTAATGTAGAACATTGCCAGTCTTTATTGCTTAAAACATTTGTTCTCTTTTTTGAAGTTAAATTGGAAAACCAGTTTTCATTAACAATCTAACTGTTCTGCTTTAGATCCAAATGTCATGATTGACATCCATGTTTTTGTTGACTCATACTCTCATGACTAATCATAAATTATATTGACACTCTCCACTTTCTTTTCTTCAGAGATTTTAGGAAGTGTTGATTCACCATATGAAGGAGGAATATTTAATCTTGAAATTATTGTTCCTGAAAGGTACAATTTTTAATTTCTCGACTATATTTTGATTTTCCTGCTATCATTCTCATTTACACTATATGTTCTCGTACTCACTCTGTTTTGATTAACTAATTACAGTGGCAGTTTAAGTGTAGCCTTCCATCTATCTATGCCAAATACAAAAGTGGTTGTCGAAACACTAATGTTAACAATGTACTGTACATGAATGTATTCATGCCACATGCTTTTTGGTTGACACTGTTGTAATATATTAATAGGAAAACATTAATTTGAGTTTTGCTTAAATTCAGTGATGTGAAACAGGGAAAATCTCAGGCTTAAGTACTTCCTGTTCAAAATAGAGACATAGATATATACACTTCATGTCCTTACAAAGACTTATAATTGTTTGTCTCCTCTCAGCTAATCTGGTGATACCCTTTTACAAAGGCCTGTCTGAGATCTGTAGCAACTTCATATATCGGCATAGCAATATGAAATTTGGATTTTTGTGGCACCTAATTCAAACCTGCTGAACTAGGGAAGGCATTGCATTCACTGACCAAATTTTCTTCCACTTTTAAAATAAAATTATAATTCCACAATAATGGCATCTCACCTAAATGATGGTTGGCGATATACAGAATCATCCCACAATTATTTCAGGTTTTATTTAAAAATATACCATATGTAAAGATAGTAGAGCAGCTACCTAATACTGTTCCGCTCATTTATTTTTTAAAGAAGTGTAGTCCCTAATGACTGCTGATAAATATCTTGAGTTATTTGGATGTGTGGCTTCAGCGTTAAATGCTGATTGTCACGGAATTAGCCATTCTTAGCCGAGTATTGAGCTTGTTATTTCCTGTTCTGACAGAAAGAGGATAAGAAGACTTGCCAGTTTTTCAATCTTAATTGTTTTCTGGTAATCTTTGCTACCAGGTATACTTATGTTACCATGGGGTGAGCACAGAATTGGTAGCACTCATCATGATCAAGTATCTAACGTTCTCTATTTGGCTTGTTGATCAACAATGAACTTGTGTGGCTATGCAACTAGGTCTCACTTTCTAATATATATGTAAATATGATCAGCCAAATGGTCTACTGTTTCTATTTTCTAAGTTTATATATTAAAAGGTTGTGCATTTGAGATCTATATGTAAATGTAATTCAAGAGAATTTGATTTAAAATGATTAAATTATAATATTATCCTATCTAATTTATAAATAGATGATATTAAGATCTTTTCAACAATTGAATCTTGAATGAATGTGGTTTTTAAATTATCTTGATTTTAGATATCCATTTGAACCTCCAAAAATTCGGTTTCTGACCCCAATCTATCATCCTAACATTGACACTGCGGGAAGGATCTGCCTGGACATCTTGAAGCTGCCTCCAAAGGTAATCAGAATTGTTTTTCAGGATTTAATGCAATTGATGTTTTGCTTGAAAGTGACCCTTTCAGCAGTTGCACAATTTGAATTGCTCCACAATTTTGAAATGCGTTTTTGACTTAAATAACACAGAAAAAGGCAATCTACAAATTGATGTGGTACTTTTAGAATTGCTGTTAAGTTTTCACCGTAACTTTGGTATGTAGTATATCTACCAAATAAATTATCAGCCTTAATTTTAGGGATTTTATAATGGTCTCAATGAATGAAAACATTTAATTTTAGAGGCAGAATTTCCAATGGGAACATACGTTGAGTAAAGCTACTCCCTAATATCAAAAACAAAGTTGCTGGAAAAGCTCAGCAGGTCTGGCAGCATCTGTGGAGGAGAAAACAGAGTTAG